TCCCAGGAGTCTCAGATTTGTCTAATTTTGCATGTTGTGCATATAAGGATGACACTTTTTTGACAAGGTGCAGCAGAGAGTGACTATGTGCATTCTCTCTCTCTATGTATGTATGGTGGGGTATTTTTGACTCAGGCCACTTTAACCCTACCACACTCTGGCCTTCTGTTATTACCTGTCTGCTTCTAAGGTTCCTGTTGGGAGAAATCATGGATCAATGAGAATTCCACTTTGGACAAGAGGAAACGGGAAACATGCTTTCTTGAACATTAGCTCTTCTGTTCTAAAACTTTCCTCCTCAGCCCTCAGCACGAGCATCTTATATTAAACGATGTGGAGAGAGAAGGGACTTTGTAGCGGGGCGCTGGCCAATTCTTCGTGCACCTACGGACTTTTTCCAGCGGTCTTCCTATATGAACTGTTCGCACCAGGGCTGATTTACAAACAAACAGGATGCGACTGAGAAGCTGGCTGCCTTCTGTGCCTCTAGAGTAAGCAGAGCCATAAATAATCTAGTACAAAGTTTTCCACAAAAGACAATGCCTTCAAGTTTGGAGAAGAGTGGAGTTTTGGCCTGAGTTGATTTGTCAAATAATTCTATTTCTTATATTACCAGGAGGGGTGGGAATCGATTAGACCCTGGTGCCATTTTATTTCTCTTGATCAACAGAGTTTATATCTCACCCAACCTTGTGTCTCTTGGTTTTTCTTTTCTTTTTTCTTTTTCTTTTGTCTCCTGGCATTTTAATCAGGGAAGTCACAGTTGTTTTGAGGAAAATGCTCCCAAGAGCTTTAATTAAAGCTGGAAGGATACATCTGTTTACAGTGTGGTGAACACCATCATTAATAAAACATTGGAATAATTAACAAATTAAATTCTGCTTTGTGTGTGAACGGCTACATTTAGGATTATAAGACCATGTCACACGAACAAATACAACACATTATGCACTTTGTTGAGAAGAAAAGAAAGAACCAAGCCAGTGTTTCTCTGAGATGCGTAGTGCCATAGCCTGATGATGCTTTGGTGCAGTGAAGTCACATCATCATTTCACAGCAAAAGTAGCTTAGCTTCCATGGGTCCAAGTCCTGGGCTCTACCCATGAGTACTAAGGTAAGAATTTTTATTACATCATGGGCACACTAAGTCTTTGATTGTTCAATTAGAAACAAAAGGAAAAAAGAAAAATTAAGTTAATAATGAGCTAGAAGACAGAATACAGGATAGAATAATTTGGGAAGAACATGCAAACTTCACAGTGTGATTAACTACAATCACTGAGAAGAGTTTTGCATGAAGTGGCCTTGTGAGCAGGATGAGGCTGTGGCGAACCTTCCAGCCTTGGGGGTCCTTCTCACTAAGCCGCTCCTTGCCTTGTTCTGAAGCTTCCTGGCAGGAAGTACCAGTGTAGACATTCAGATCCATGGCTAATGCTGTATTGTTTTTTTTTTTTTTTTTCTCAATGTCACTCGGTAATTTCCTAGAGAAAACAATGGGAACTGAAGGCTGTTCCTGTCTTTAAGGAAAGCCATTTTCCCCAAAGTTGCTTTATTAATTTAACACATGCAAATATTTGTCCTGATTGTTGCTACAGCAACATGCTTTGTGGGGGCACATTTCATGCAAAATGGGGTAAAGCTGAAAAACAAGACAAATGTCATCTGCATAATCATGTACATAAAAATAGAAGTGTACGTGTGTGGCGCTGCGTGTGCTACGCTGCCGTGATTAGTGGTGCACGCCTTGGCCCTCCGTCTAAATCACGCTGTACTTGTTGGTTAATTTATAAAACATCTATCCAATGAAAACAACCAACCAGCCACTTCCAAAGAGCTTCAACAAAGCTGGAAGCACAGGAAATTATTTATAATTAGGTGATGGGTGGGTGATAACTGCTCTCACCACAAACATAGACACAAGTGTGTGAATGAGCTCTGAGTGCCAAGGGAAAAGGGTCATTTTACCTCAAGGTGAACCAGAAGCTAAGCTTTCATGATAATCACCTCTCAGAATCACTGAGGAGCAAGGTCCCTGCATTAGGCTCCTGTCAGCATGAGCCTCCTCAGCTAGGGAGAAGGGGAAGTATTCCTGAGAGAGACCTGTATGTGTGAGGCAGAATGAGCCACAAAGTCACCACACTTGGTAAAAGGTAAGAAGCAGGGCAGACCTGGGAGCCCAACACACCTTCTTCCCAGACCAAGGTCCCACCTGCAGCCTTGAACACATACTGATTTCTCTGAATCTCAGTGGCTCTATTTTTGAGGAATGGAGATATTTTAGCTACTTCTCAGGATTGAAGTAAGGATTAGATTTTAAAAAGTGTCATGTAGGGGCTTGAGAGATGGCTCAGTGGTTAAGAGCACTGACTGCTCCTGCAGAGGAGCTGGGTTTGATTCCTAGCACCCACATGGCGGCTAACAACTGCCCTAACTTCAATTCCAGGAGATCTGACACCCTCTTCTGACCTCCATAGGCATTGCATGACGTGGGAGCACTTATCATACATGCAAGCAATACACTCATATACATAAAACAAAATTATAAATAAATTTTTAAAAAGTGTTGTGTTGGGCTGGGGGTGTTGCTCAATTGGTAGTGTTTGCTAGCGTGTACAGTGCAACCCTGGGTTTCATCTCCAGCACTGCAGAAAACCACGTATCTTGATATATGACTGTAATCCCAGCACTTGGGAGAAGGCAGGAAGATCCGAAGTTCAAGGTCATCCTCAGCTACATGTAGTGAGTTCAAGGCCAGCCTGGGCTACATGAGACCCTGTCTCAAAAAAGAAAAAAAAAAGCTTTGAAAAAATGTGAAGTAACCAGACACCTCAAAGGCACTCAAAAAATGGGAAGTCATGTATGAAAGGTACAGTTCTCCTTAGCGTGTTCACCAAATATTTTTCTCCCTTCTTTCCACACGGGGTTTTACTCCCTGCTGCTCCTTGGACTTGAGTGTTGTCAGGTGAGCAGGCTTTGGAGATGCGATGGGGACTGTTTGCATAGGGACATTTCAGATGTTGGCCTCTCCCTCAGCTTGCTGTCTGAAGGTATGACCCCCCAAGCCAGTCCAGTGATGGAATAGTCTGAATAGAAAGAAAGCTTGTTTTGGGGGAACGTGGTTGCTGCATTCCCAAGCTATCCCATGAAAGAAAGGGCTTGATGACATTCTTCTGCAGGCATCGAAGTGTACCTACCCCAAGAATGATGTAAGATTCTGTCCATTGACAAACACTTTGTGAGAGCCCCTTTAGTCTTCATGTTTCTGGGGAGGCAGAAATGGCTCATGCAGAAGAATTGCTACCTCAGCAGTTTCCAAACTTCTGCAGGACCGCTGGGGCCCCATTATTGAGTGAGGTCCACGTTGCTCAGAATAGGAGTGCATTACCATGCAGACATGCTTAGCACTGCAAAAACGCAAGCTTCCCCCAGAGCTGCGTCTGTCAATCACACTGAGCTGCTTGTGGGTTTGGAGACGAGGAAAGACAAGCTACCATGAGCAAATTCATTTCACCTCTGGCTTCATCTACAGCGGGCTTCAGCAATCTCGAGTGAGGCCTCGTCTTTTCCCACCCTCTCCACATGACTCAGTGTTATCATTTAGAGGTTAGCATGGGTTCAGTCTCCCGTAATGGGCTCTTTCACTTTAAGTGTATGTTAAACTAATATTGACCTTTCCAAAGTAAAACAGAATCCCGTATTTGTGCTCAAATGACTGAAACAGCAATGGATGTGGGAGAGAATAAATCATCTCGGCTTTCTTCTTGCCTAGAGACTCTCTCTGGGAATTAGTCATTGTTCTATATCTGGCAATGAATGGAAGACAGGCTCTGCCTCCTCTCAGGTCCATTGGTGTATAACCAGAATACCCACATGCCGGATGCTTCATTAAACAACAGTGCAGACCCCATGAACAAAAGCACAGGGCCTTGGGGGTGGTATGATGGTTAATCTTGTTGGTCGAATTGATGGGATTTAGAATCACCAAGGAAACAAATCTCTGGGCATGTCTATGAGGAATTTTGTAGGTTAGGTTAATTGAGATGGGAAGACCCACCCTGAATGTGAGCAGTCCCATCCCATGGGCTGAACTCCAAGACACAATAAAAAGGAGAAAGCAAGTTGAGCACCAGCCTTCATCTTTCTCTGCTTCCTGATTGCAGATACAATGTGACCAACTGCCTTAGCTCCTGTCACCATGGCCATGATGGATGGGTCGGGAGGTCAAAATAAACCCTTTCTCCCTTAAGTTGCTTTTGTCAGATACTTTGTTGCAGCAACAAGACAAGTAATGACTACGGGTGGAAACACCCAGACCTCAAAGTTGGGCAAGGACAGATGCTCAGAATGGTACTAAGGATGGTTTCTAGAAGGGCTGGGGGATGAGGTCCAGTGAATGTATGTAGTTATAGCAAAAAGGGGGTCCCAGAGCCTAGTAAGCAGAACAGCAGCAACACAACTAATGAAGACATGTGCATATGTTTCATACTGGTCCATGAATATACATTAACAGACGCCCCACTTAGCTTCCTTCTTGGGTATGAGCTCACAGATCATGCAAAATTCATGTCAATTCTCCCTTCCCTTCTCCAATCCTAAACAAACAGAAGACTCAATATTTGTAAACAAAGCTCTCAAGTGCATCCTGCAGAAAGGATTCCTATATTTCATCAATGAAATAGAATTATGTCATGATAGGAAGTAAATATATAGTTGTTGAAAAAAAGCAGATCCAGTTGTATGAAAGTGAGGTTTCTAGTCAAAATCTAGAAAGAGCAGTACCCCAGACTTGAGAAGAAAAGAGTTTTCTGGGGGTCATCTGATCAGCTCTGCCCTGCTATTCCCATATGGTGTTCATTCTGCACTGAACAGATCATGTTCAGACTCATTCCCCTTCCCACACATGGGGTTTGGCATGGCACTGATTCTATTCAATGGCTTTTCTAGATGCCCCAAATCTCTCTCAGTACCAGCTCAGCAGTGCCTAGCCTCGAGCAACCTACCTGGATCCACTCCCTGTAGGAGTCCTCCCCAGGAGTCCACCCATTTTCAGGGTAGTTCAGACGGGACCGCTCTGCCGACCAGTTGGTGCTATACTGTGAAGATGCGGTGATCTGGTCAGAATCGATCTCTCCCGACTCCATACCCAGAGGCTCCATACACTTGAAATCTGCAGGGAAAACATGAAAGACTGAAGATGCATTTTTCATTTGAATCTGACAAACTAAAGTGTTCTCTCATGGAAGCGGGAGATGGTGGGTAAAGTACTTGTTGTGCAAGTACAAGGAACTGAGCTTGGATCCTCAGCACCCATGTAAAAGGCAGGCGGGCTGGCCTGTTGGTGATGCCAGAGCTGGAGGCTGAGACAGGCAGATTCCTGGAGTGTTTGCTGGCGAACCAGTCTAACCAATCCATAAGCTTCAGGGTCAGTGAGAGACCTTGTCTCAAAAAACAAGGTAGAGAGTGACTGAGGAAGACATGTGGTTTGATGTCAACCTCTGGCCTCCACACACATGTACACACACACACACACACACACGCACGCACACTTGCATGCACGCTACACTCACACACACACACACACACACACACAGAGTCATTGACAAAGTCTGGCAAAAGATGCATTACAGGAATGCTTAAAAATTATACTATGTACAATTAATAATTTATTATGCAATACTATGAGCAGTTAGTAACTTTCCCATGTAGGCTAAGGATGACAAAAATGCTATTTGAGGCGGAGACTATGGCTCAGTTGGTGGAGTGCTTGCCTAGTGAGCATGAGGTCATGGGTTCCATCCCTAGCACCTCATAAACTGGGCATGGTGGTGCACACCTGTAATCCCAGCACTCTAGAGGCAGAGGCAGGAGGATTAAAAAGTAAGGGTCATCCTCAGCTATGTGGTGAGTTGGAGGCCAGCTTGGGATATATGAGATGCTCTTTTGAAAAAAGAAAAAAAATAGAAGAAAGAAAAAGAAAGAAAAAAGAAACATTTTTTTCTTAAATTGATAATTTTTCAGTAATGGAAAGCTACTAATATACTCAGTCAATCAAAATTTCACATTTTTCTGACATTTCTATACTGACAAGGTTTTATGACATCAAAAGTTCTATGCTAACTACTCAAATAAATTAAGTACAAAGAGATTTTTTTGAATTTCATTGGCCTTTTTGCTTTCCAGTGAGATGCCGTAGAGTAGAGAAGACATTAACATCTCTGGGAGAGCATTACAGACCAGGCGAGCCTCACACTGGGCTCCACACAGAGCCCTCTCCTAGCCTCTGTGCAGGTGGGCAGAGCCAGGAAAACCACTCATTTCTTGACTTTTCCCTCTGGCCTTCAAAAGAACTCTTAGCCACATGAGCTTTAGTGAAGTCTTTCCTCTTTTGAGTGGGAGGGGTTTGCAGTACTGGGACTTGGTTCCAGGGCCTCATACACACTAGGCAAGTTTATTCCACCACTGGGCTATCTTTCCTGCTCAGAGTATTTTAATAGGATATAAAACTACATTACTCTTTTCATTGAAAAGATACGAAAACAAAAATTAAAATGTTCTTTTACAGACTGGGTCTGTAGTTCAGTAGGTATAGACAGTACTTACATGCACCAAACCCTGGGTTCCATCCCCAGAACCACATAAGCCAGGCATGGTGGTGCATACACATTATAATCCTAGCACTTGGGAGGTAGAGGTTCAAGGCTCAGGAGTTACAGGTACAGCAGGGTTTGAGGCCAGCCTAGTACACATGAGATAAATTCTATATAAAAAATAAAGGGCAGGGCAGGGGGAGGGAGCAGACTGCTTCTGGTGGAGAGAACTGAAATGCACAATTTTTTCTCTGACCTCCATACGTACTAAGTGAAATGTAAAAAAATCAAAATATTCTGCTTTTACACACAAATCTTCTTTTATTTAGATAAGAAAGAAAACTATAATGTGTCCCCCAGGGTCTCCCACAACCAACTGCCTACATTCTGCCCCTGTGTGTAACTGCTCTGTGGACCAGCCACCTTGGGCTGGTTCAGGAGGAAGCTGCCCTTTGCGGTTCCCGACACCTGTGCCCTTGAAGTGCTAGAAAAACCTCCAGGTCAGCCCTCACTGTTCCTCCTCTAACTGCAGAAGCTCACACTCAATTTTATAGAGAAAGCACACCACACAGTTTTTCCAAGTGATGCACACAAAAATCAACAATAATAACAACAACTATAAAACATTTAAAGAGAAAAACAAAACACTTGGTGCCCTGGCTCACAGAATGTTTCTTCATGTGACCTCAGGTGCAGGAGGAATAATGGACCGTGTTTACTACAGGGCTTTGTGAGATGAATAAATACTGACCTTCAGAGACACTGCTCTGTAAGACACTGTAGTTAGCTGAGAAGCCTTCTTTTGCTACTGCGCTGTCGGTGTAAAAGACCATGGACAGAATGCCTGATGAGGACCGGATCCGACCTGGTGTTTTCTGTCCACAGTAACGCCCAATGTGAGGGCCAACTGAAAAGACAAAACAGACATCAGATTGTCTTTTCTTCTACAACAGAGGCAAAAATAACTGTTTACAAGCACGAGTCTCAGCAGCTCACTAAAACTCTTCATTGTAGCCTGCCATGAGTCTTCTCTAGCTAACTGGTGATTAGTGAACATACTGGATGAATCTGTGGAGACGATTTGGAGGAGTGCTCAGAGGAGCAGTCACAGGCACAAATACATTCCCCAGCAAGTCGGGTTGTTCTCTGGGATGGAACAGGCTCCTGTTGGCTCCAGTGTACAAAGTGCTTGAGGACTGGACTTCGGATCCCTAGCACTGCAGGAAAATTAGGGAGGGTGTGGCTTGGTAGCCTACCTGTAATCCCAGAGCTCCAGAGATGGGACAAGGGGTCCCTGGGACAAGTTACCTACAAGCCAAATCGGTGTGTTCTGCATTCAGTGGGAGGGGACACAGGAAGACACCCAGTGTCAGCCTCTGGCCTCCACATGTACCTGTACATACATGTGGATCCACATACATGTGAACACATGTTATACATGCATACCACATACACATATACACAGTGTCTTAGTTTGTTCTTCATTGCTGTGACAAAACACTCTGACCAATACCAACTCGGGGAGGAAAGGGTTTATTTGTCTTACATCTCCCGGGTCACAGTTCATCATGGAGCCCAAGGTAAGAACGCAGGGCAGGAATCTGGAGGCAGGAGCTGGAGCACAGGCCATGGAGGAACGCTGCTTACAGGCTTGCTCTCTTGGCCCCTGCTCAGCCTGCTTTCTTATGCAACACAGGCCCACCTGCCCGGGGTGGCACCACCCACAGTAGGCTGGGCCCTCCCACATCACTCATCAAGAAGATGCCCCTCAGACATGGCCACAGGCCAGTCCGATAGAGGAAATTTCCCGATTGAGGCTCCCTCAACCCAGGTGTGTCAAGTTGACACTAAAGTTATCCAGCACACACAGTAAAACAAAAACAAACAAACAAGGTGCGTGATTCTTGAGAATGACACCTGAGGTTGTCCTCTGGCCTCCACACCAATGTGCTCACACACGCACATGCATACATGAAAACACACACACACACACACACACACACACACACACACACACACACAAGCATGCAGTTCAGGCCATCAGGTGGCACATTGGGATTCATCTTCAGGCAAAGTTGCTTCCAAAGCTCAGCATGGAAAGACTCCAATCAGGCCAGATCTCTGAGGTCTCACTTCTTCCCCGGACGAGAGCTTGGGGGAACACTTACATCTCAAGAAGCACCCAGGGCCACATAATCCTGATTTCCTTCCTCATTCTGTTATGCAGACCTGAATTCTAAATGACCCACATCTCCTGCTAAGACAAAGGGCTTGGACAAACTCTTCTCAGGGCTGTGCCTAATGACTAATGGATTACTTGATTATTTGAGATTTAGAGACTACAGACACCAGTGATTTATACATGATGCCAATGTTACAACCAAAATGAATAAAAAATATGTTTTTCTGACTTCTGCCTGGTTTTCACTCTTCCAAACCCAGGAGCAGGGACTGAGCCACAGCATCTTTCAAGAAATGACCCACAGCAGCTACTTGCATGCCTGCCCTAGGCCATGAATGGTCCAGAACACTAATTAGTGTTAAAATCCTGTGACTGTGCCTTTCCTGAAATGCTTCAAACAAACCTTGGCAATGAGTCACTTCATAGTGTAGAAGCCCCTGGCACTTGGGGAACCTCTCCATTTATCTGTCCAGATCAGCAAGACAAAAATTAACTTTCTCTCTAGTATTTTTATTGCACATATGGTAACACATACCAGATGGCTTGGACTTTGAAGGAAAATCTGGTGTGGACTGTCTTCCTTTCCCAGAAATCATGGTTCTGTGCACTTCAGCTAATAACTAGTTCTCAGTGTAAGCAGCCTAGCACATGGCAGTTTCCCTGGATGGAGGGACAGTGCTTCAATGGGGATGCAGATCTCCAAGTCTATGCAGGCAACTCGATGTACAAGACAGTTGTGAAGATAAGATGATCCGAGCATCACTGCAAAAGTGAATGCCGTGAGAGCTGATCTTCCTGACGTCCAAAGGCTACTAACTTCTTAGTGTGCAGTCAACCTGAGCACTTCACTTTTAAAAATAAATATTTTATTCATTATTTTTATTTTATGTGTAGGCATGTATTGCCTGCATGTAGGTAAGTGCACCCACGTTGTGCAATGCCTGCAGAGGACAGAAGAGACTGTCAGACCCCCTGGAACTGGAGTTACGGACAGTTGTTAGCTGCCATGTGGGTGCTGGGATTCAAACCCAGGTCTTCTGCAGGAAGAGTCAGTGTTCTTAACCGCTGAGCCATCTCTCCAGCCCAGCACCTCACTTTCAAGAGTGTGAGATCTTTGGCTGACAAGTTTTCATTTTGATTAATCTTTTTAAACCAAGCAAGCTAATGGATGTGGTTCATGAATTTGAGTTTTGTATAATAGATTACTTTGTTTTTGTTCTTGTCTTTGAGACAAGGTATCCCAGGCTGGCCTCAACTTACTATGTAGTTGACCATGACCTTGAACCTCTGATCCTTCTACTCCACTAGAATTACAGGCATGCATCACCATACCTGGTTTATGCAGTGCAGAGGTTTACTCAGGGCTTTGCGTGTGCTAGTGTGTCAGCGCTACATCGCGCTACCCCCTCAACCCACAAAGCATTACTCTGAATCTCTGATCACTTGACATGTTCAAAGTAATCACTCTGACCGAATTTAAAGACTGTTCTCTCTGTTGTCACCCCTCATACTAGAAATGGACGACTTGGTGAGTGCAGTGGTTTATCACGAGGAAAACACAAGGACGTCCAGGAGGGAGACGAATAGATTCTGTAAAGAGCATCCCACTTTGAATGCTGGAAAGAGAATTCTGCTACATTTGCTTCCCAGTTGGCAGAGGAAGGCACCTCAGAAGGTGGAACTCTTACTGTTTTCACTTCTTTTCAGCTTAATCTTGGCCTCACTTTCTTCTCCGACTGCTAGCTCTTTGCCAGGCTTTCTTCATTCTAGATGTGTGGCCCCGCCACTAATTCAACGCCTCTTTTCTTCCCTGCAGAGCTCCAGGTTGCCCATAACGTATGCATGAAAACATCTTGCCCAGAGCCAAGAACTTGGTTCTTCCTTGCCTTGGTAGGAATCCCATTTGGGTCTGCAGTTGTAAATGGGAGGCTTAGTGTCCATTCATTGCCCCCTCATGGCTCCCTTCATTGAAATTCCATCAGTGTGCTTTTATAATCTTTTTCTTTAGTTTGTGGGCAAACTTTTACAGCCCTAATCCTTGAGGTCGTTCCCTCATCACCACAGCCACTGACCTTCCTGAGGATAGACGCTGGGGAGGGAAGCTGTGGGTGCCTGTGGAAAGGCCGGCGGCAGTCCCCCCTTCTCTATCACCCAATTCTTTTGGGAAGGGTGGCAGGGGGAGTCTTTTTGAAAGAGGAAACAGAGGAGAACTTGTCTAAAGTAGACTCATAATTTAGAGAGTCTCCATGACTCACTGGTTTATAATGTTGAAGGCATGCTGGGTAAATCTGCCTTCTGTCTTTTAGAACATTGCCCCCGGACAGCTCCCTGAAAGTCTCCTTAGGAGCCCTCAAGATATAAGAGTGTGAGGCTCTGGCGACAATAATACAAAGAGGTATTGAATTTTCCTGAACAAGAGGGAGACCTCAGCCTCACAAGCTAATGCAATATTGATCCGAGCCAGGAGGACAAGGTGCTCTCATGCGTATTGCGTGTGCTCATTTATGCTTCCTGTGAACATGGTTACTGGGTTTCTTCTCCCTGTAACTGTGGACTCAAAGGCCAAAGAGATAGATGAAAATGATCACCACACTCAGAAGTATAATGCAGAACTTGAATTACTGAGGACATAGGATATATGAACTTTGGACAGCAGGACTCTAGTCCCATCGTACCAGGTATAAGGGTGACAGAGTGTGTTCCTTAGAAGATAGCACCCCATTATTATTTCCAATAATTACAACCCTACCTCAAAATCAAAATAATGTGGTCTTTCTTTACCATTTTATGTGAACAAAAGCAACAAGCAAATGCAAAGAGGTACTTTTTGCTTCCTGCTTTTGAGACAGCCTGGCTCTTGCTGTGTTGCCTAGGCTAACCTAGAAGTCCTGCTCCTGCTGCAGGCTCCTGAGTGCTGGGATTACAGGAGCTTGCCTACCATGCCCAGCATAAAGGGATACTTTTAAAGTGAGAGACCCTGAGCCTGGCATGGTGGTGCATGCCTTTAATCCCAGCACTCGGGAGGCAGAGGCAGGCAGATCTCTGTGAGTCCGAAGCAAGCCTGGTCTACCTAGTGAGTTCAGGCCAGCTGGGGCTACTGGAAGACCCTGTATCAAAGAGACCAAAA